TTTTTATGAATATACTTTGTAATGATTCATGCACCAATATGACATAGATGAATACAAAATGTGTATTAAATATCTAAATACATAACTGTGATATGGATTTAAATCTCACCTGATAAAAAAAACTATTTTAGCTTATGATACAGGCATCTTCAGGATCTCAATAGCACTGGGGAAATGTCCATGCAAAACAAGAGTTTTCATAGCCAATTCTCATATGCCAAATTTTGTTTTTTGGCAAAAAAAGATTATATGAAAGTTGCATTTCTCCCCCATTTTCATATGCCTGGTCTTCTTTTTAGCGAAAAGTAACATAAATCGATTAAAAAATTTCATTACATCAGATCAAGATGTCAGATATTGCCATAGAAAAGAGAAAAATTTGCGTACGTAAGACGTAAGCAGCGCTGCGTACATCAGGAGGTTATACAGAGGATATTGGGGGGTTATATCCATGTTATATCTCTAATATTGGGGGGTTATATCCGCTTTATATCTCCTCTAACCTCTCTGTAACCTACAAATATATGAAAACAGAAGCGCGAAACTTATTTGTAGATTACAGGTAGGTTATAAGGAAGTGTAGGGTTACAAGGGGGTGTAATGTGGATATAACCCCCCAATACCCTCTGAATAACCTCTCTAACGTACGCAGCGCTGCGTATGTCTTACGTACGCAAATTTTTCTCCATTAAAAAAAGGAAATAGCAAATGGAATCAAACAATTTATGGAAGTTATATCAAAAGAAATTTGGACTTCTTAAACTAAGAAGAGAAGAAGGGGCACAGAAAAGCAAGCTGCCGGAGTCTTGAAACAAATTTAATAACTTAATGTAGCAATATTATTACATATACTACAGAGCAGATGATGCTTAAAATTTACTAACATAGCTCACCAGATATGGTTGCGTTGGCATACTTTGCCACAACCAATCATTCGACACTCGGAATAAGAAGTCAAACTGAGATTCTATGACTACTGAGTACTTGGTAATAACGAGAGAATTCTCCAGGTGTTGCTGATGGTAATACAACTCATTCAATCTTCAGTAAAGCACAACTCATAAAGATTATAAGCCAATCGGAATATATGTATATGTATCGTTGGAAACATCAAGGAACTAAAGATGTGTCAACTCCAATTGAGGTATGCTACAAATACAAATTAGATATTCAACGGTTCTGTCTCATTGTCCCTCTCCTTCACTGCCATCCAGTCCTGTGGCTCTGAAACAAGAGGATAGAAAAAAGAGCGTGAAAATGGAGATGGAAACCAAGTTCTAAATAAAACACAATATAAATTGTCAGGACACAATTAGTACGAAATGCTAAGGCATATTTTGGATCACTTTAATTTTTAAGTGTTTAATATATATTTTAAACTTTTACATTTTTTATTTTTTGCTTCTAATAACAAATGAAGGTGTTTTAAAAAAAATTGAAATAAATATAGGGTTTTCAAGTGTTTATAAATACAATTATCGACGCCTAGGATCACTACAGCAGCCCGCTACCACCACTGCCACATGCCTCACCCACATTTGTCAACCATAGTCGTCATCAGCACCTCGTCAGTTGCAGCTGCGACATTGCCGATGACTATTGATAGCATGGTATGCATGAGTAAAAATAACATTGTAACACAAGTAAAATAAAAAAAAAAACTAAAAATAAAAACGTAATAAAAATGATCCCAATATGTTCATTCATTGAAGTATCTACATCAATAAAATTATAGTAAGTTTGCTAAGAAAGGAAAAATATTGGAATTTAAGCTCCTACTTCACTTTATCAAAAAAGGAGAATAAAAACTCCTTCAGCAGAAATTGAAGAATGCAACGGTTACAAGCCATCAAGTTAAATTTACTGCTGTTTTAAGGGAAGCTTTGTAGGTTTTCGGGCTATCCAAAAACTGCAAGGATCATGCCATCATCGAAACTACAATAATAATATTAACCAATAAAGTTCCGAGACTTTAATTGGACAACTTTTATCAGGGTAAGGAACAAGCTGGCATTTTTCACTGAATAGTTCGATTACAATTAAATTAACTATAAAAATTAAATTCTGGAAACAAAAGACTATAATGTAATAAGGTCTACGACCATTGTGTTGGGGGGATCAGCAGTAGGAGGGAAGAAACTCTATCCAATAATTGAACAATCATGCAGAGAACTATGATGTACATTTATAGTAAAGGAATACATATGCCACCATGGTCTTCTACAAATGAAGCATAGCCAATGCAAATTCATTATTTTAGGAAATACTTGCAAACAGTTGGAAGCAAATTGAAGAAAAAGTAATAAATACAGCAGCTGCTAAAAGTGGTCAATAATACTAAATCACTTGATTAGATCTTAAGATTTACCAAAGAAATATGAAAACCTGCTAGATATTCACACTTAAATTCTGAAATATAAAATCAACAAAGCATGTTTTGATAGCTTTAATGACTAGTCAGAAAAATGAAGTTGCAGTATAGCTACATATGATAAAATTCCGAAACATACAATCAGTTAATGCTATTATTTAACATGAAGGGCAGATTTAAAAGAAGTACATTAAGATAAACTGCTATAAGAACTAATCCTAATGTTCGTCCTTATGATGATCTATACTTACTTGATTTGTGGCTCTCAGAAACCACCATTAGCCTCCTTTGTAGAACCGCAGCCATGAAGAGGAAAATAGAGCACATGCCGAACATGACAGTGATGGGAAATGCATTCACCTTCAAAAGTGAAAATTAAATAGAATGTGACTCAAAATGAACCATGCATATATGCAAGCATAAACTCAATATGACAAAAAGTTCCAAATAACTAGTCTTCACAAACCCAAATAAATAAATAAATAAATAAAGCAAACTACAGTGTTTTATTACAGCACGAGTATCACATCTAATTAAAATTTAAGAACGAAAATCCAGAAAACCTGCATTGTACAACACCTTATAAAGTTTTAGAAGAAAGGAAATCCTAGATACTTACATTGTAAAGAACAACACAGACGAATATGTTGAGAGGAATACGAAAGAAGTTCATGATCGTGCTTCTAGCTTCCTCCGGAATGTATTGAGACCTCATCTTCATGATAGATGGCCAAAATATCCCAACGCATGCCTCAAAGGTACAGAAGCCAAAGAGTTGGATGCAGCCTGCAACTGAAATGCTGCCCCCTTTTACTCCAGTAGATGGCACTAGAAACTGTTCCCATTTTCACTTCAAGGTCACAGCATAACATTAACATATAAGATAGTAAAAAGAAGAGAAAAAGGAAGACTAACAGTAGTTATTATAGGAAGAAGAAGAGTTAGTGCAGAAATTCCAAAAATGATCTGCATATAACTTTCTACTTTTGGTGTGGAGCGAGCCAACAAACGAGATGCAGTGGAGCTTCCCAACATTGAAGAAAGCATGAATGTAGCGAAGATAAACCCATGAGGAATATCCTCCTCATTTGGGCTTAATGCAGGAGTCCACAAAAAAACAAATGTATACATAGAGCCTTCAAACAGTGACTGTATTGCACCCAAAAGAGCAATCTTTTCATCTGAAGTGGCAATAAACTTTCATCACGTATGGGCTATGAAACAGGTTGGGGAATCATAAAAATAGCATCAGAATGAATACTAACCAGAAGCTATGGCTACTGCAGCACCTTTAAATTGAGATAGTAAACTTTTGTTATCAGAAGAATCTCCGTAGTTTTCACTCCAGGAGGATAATATGATTGCCATCCCAATAGCAAGGAAGCATGCAGCAGCATCAAAAGGGGCAACAGGGCCAAAGCCCAAGTTATCTGCCAATATATTAGCAAACAGTCCGGAGACAATTGCAACTAGACCATTACCAAGAAATATAGCCTTTGAGAAAGTTAAGGATAGCCACTGAGGTTCAAAGCCTCTCTGCAAAAATTGACAAAGATTATCATGAAAAACTAACATGAATGAAAATAAAACATATATTACCAATATAATTGGTGAATCAGCATGTTTTGTGAAGAGGTTAGACATAAAAAGCTTTGCTAATAGAATACTAATTAAGTTATTAGCATTGCAGGTCAGTTTTGGCCAACAGAATCCAATTTCTCAACTTTGAAAGTGATATTATAAAATTTAGATAAAAATCTCAAAACATCACGCAAAACTCAGTTAATTCGGAAGGGAAGAAAATTAGATTAGGTGACAATGATGCACTAATTACTTATAAAACATATAACAATACATATATTTATAAAAGGGGAATTAAACAAAATACAGCTGGTTTGATTTAGATATTAGGGTGTTATCTAAGTAAATATAAAAATTTAGATGTTCTATACGCAGATAGATAACAATTTAACGATGTTATGCAGATCTCCCTACTATAAAACCATACTTTCCCTTCAAATCCAGGAGATTATCTGTTTTATACATGGACAAACATTCTTATTGCCGCAATATAGTTTCTTAACAGTTGAGATTGATTTAAAAACATTGGCCGCATTACCCTAGTCAAAGAAGCTTTTAAATTAGATCAATTCAATCAATGACTACAAGCTAATGACCACAAATTGAAAGAAAAAATTCAGCCAAAATCTGCAATAAGTTATCAAAACTAGAATTTTTTATTCATCATCACCTTATTGTGCTCTGCAACAAGCCATGATTCAAAGGCCGAAAATAGCAAGGATGTAGCAATTCCGCCCAATATACGACCAAGCATTAGGACCTTATACTGCGGAGAATGCTTTGTGATGCAGCTAAGAATATAAGTTATGCAATAGGTCACGCATGCCCTCCTACGACCTCTGCATTTATATCCCGAAGATAGAATCAGAAAAAAAGATGAAACCATCCAGGACTTCTCAAGGAAGAAACATGTTAAGAAAAACAAAAATAAATTATTCTAAATTCTTACTGTTTGTCGGCCAGAGATCCGACTATGGTTCCAAATAACATGGAAGAGCCAAATCCAGCAATGAACAGACGACCAATGTCTCCCTTGTCAAATCCATACTGACTGTAGAGGAAATAAACATAGGGACCCTGCAACCAATCACCAGCTGCCGAAGTCGCAAACCATAATTAGCATAGAACAATATAGACTGTTAAAATTGCAAGCATTTTTAACATATTCATCTCCAACCAGATCAAGGAAGCTAAAAGCATTTCAAACATCATCGAAACAGGCCATAAAGAGCCAAATATCACCCAAACAATAAAAGCAGAGAAGAAAACCCCAGATCCAATACTACTCCAAATACGCAAATAAAATCCAAAAATAGCTAACGAAACCCGTGCATTGCATCGAAACATAAAAGGGGGCATATCGGTTTTTCTACTCGCCAATACTCAGGAAATGCAGCAAAAACAAAATTCGATCCCCAGGGCCCATTATAGTTCGGGCCGCAACATAGATCCGGTGGAGGCATGTTTGCTTCGCGAGTTAACATTGGGATTAAATGAAAAAGATCTTTGGAAAACAAAAATCAGTCAGGATTCAAGATCTAGAAAGGGAACAGATCACGAACCCATCATGAGAGAATAGACTACTAGGTAGTTGTTCTTGAAGGAGTTGAAGGCTGTGGAGGTGGCAATGCGATCTTTGCTGGTCTTGCTCAGCTCCAGCAGCGCCACCACCGCCGACAGGACGGCAAAGAGAAGGTAATAGAAGAGCTCCATCCCCTCTTATTTCTGTATCCAATGTATTAGGGAGATCGAAGTTTTCTTCCTGGGAACCAAGATGCAGAGTGGAGAGATCTGATATGGGGATTCCGCGTAGAACGCTAATTCCTCTCCTCCTCTCCGTTTATAAAGGAAATTGTGGGGTTTAGTTTGTGACAGGTTATTTCCGCCATGGAATAATTAGGGCCAGCCACAATATATAGGAAAATCGGGGGGCTGATTTGTAATTAACGGATTGAATCTGCAAAAAATTTCATCAAGGTCATTGGACGATTGGGTCCAAGACAATGGACGGAACTCTCACCGACAGGATAGAAAATTATGTACCCATAATATATCAATTTCGTTCTACAAATTAAAATAAAAAAAAAAATTATAAATTAATTTTAGATTAATGTTAAAAATAAAAACTTTTTTCAAAAAAAATCTTTTTTCCTCGTAGACAGATATATTTTATGTTATAGTCATAGAAAAATGTGTGTAGAAAGAGAAAAAATATTATATCAGTACTACCCACGTAGAGTAACGTGCGTAGTCAATGAAATCACATCACGACACCCTGCACGACAGAGAAAAAAAATGACGCAGTAACACAGGGAATATTCCCCCTGTGTTATTCATGTGTTATTGTGTCATTGGAATATTCTTGGTGTTATAATAAAACAATAACACATTAGAATATTTTTGGTGTTATAATAAAACAATAATACATCAATAACACATGAATAACATGGGGGAGAATATTTCTCCGTGTTACTGGCTGTTTTTTTCTCTGTCGGGAATATTTCCCGTGTTATTCAGGTGTTATTATGTGTTATTCATGTGTTATTGTGTCCTGAGAATATTCATGGTATTATAATAACACAATAACACATCAATAACACATGAATAACACGCAATAACACATGAATAACGCAAGGGCGAATATTCCCTGTGATACTGCGCCGTTTTTTCCCCTGTCGCGTGGGGTGTCGTGGCGTGGTTTTATCGGCCAATCATCGGCTACGCACGTTACTTCTACGTGCGTAGAACTAATGTAATATTTTTTCGTAGAAAGATTGAGATTTGAGTTTTCTATACAATGTATATTTTTTTGGGGAGCAATTACATGCAAACCGCTCAAAACTTGTTATTTACAAATTAAGAAACTCTAGTGTATGTATGCATATATAATCCCTTTTTTTTATAAATTAGTTGGGTATAAAAAAGTCATATAAAGAAAGTAAATAAACAAATGTATATATTATTAGATTCTTATATGAGGAACCTATAACGAAGACCCCACTAGATAGGCACATATAACCAGTTTTTAGGAGTGAGTGCTTCAAGATCCGGTCTGGTGCCTTGTAAGCATAAAAGATATGTACCTTCTTAGATGTTTAACGAGTCCATCTCAATCTTTGTGGGCGAGTACCTTGATCACAATTAGGTGAGTTCTTATGGGACTTAACTCTCGAGCCCTGATGTGATTCAAGTCTCAGTCCATTTAGAACTCAGGTCTCGAGTAATTCCATAATTTTTGCTAGCAAGTCTTTTTAGAACCCGACTGACGAGTCTATCTTGAGATTTACTCATTAACACCGTTAAGAATTAGTTCATGAATATGTCTCAAAATTGATTTGATAAGTTTGTCTTGAGCATGGCTTTACAAAACCTTCTCTGGTCTCAACAGTCAAGTACATAATGCTTGCCCCTCTATTAAGGTGATTATGCCTTTAGATTATATAATATATGAACTTATCTTTTGAAAAATATATTTATATATTTTTTGTCTTAATTTAATATAAAAATTTATTAGTTAAAATAGTGTTAGGTTTTTTTATTATTTTGTAATTTACACTATTGAAAAAATTAAAGTATATTTCAATTTTCATGAAGTTGTCTCTCTAAAATTTGGATTATTATTTGCCATAAAATTATCATCTATATTCTTCAAGGCCTCAAGAAGAGAAATTTGAATTTAGAACCTTTATAATGCACCTTTTCTAATTTAATTTAACTAAATACTCAAATATATATATATATATATATCTTACAAGCATCTTCTCCAAAAGTTTCTTTACTTGTATGATTGGAGTATTGCTCCGCTTTATCATCAAACATATGCATTTTAGCAATTCTCTCATGCAATCCACCACAATGCCATTAGGATAGTTTAGTGTTAAATTATTTTTTATTTGGGTGGCAATGCAATTACCATCTCTTCCAACACTAAAGTCTCGTGCTATGGGCACTTATTACAAAAGGAAGGAGATTGATTTAAATGCAAATTTTGAATAAGAGATTTAAGAACTAGCCCAAAGCTTTTAGTTTAAAAATGAACATCAAAAGAATTTAGAAAAGTTAGACACATAATATTTGACGTAGTGGTTTGCACCTTGTCTTCTTATCATCCTATTCATTTTTTTTTCTTTCAATATGTTTCCTTTCTTAAGTGCCTACTTTTCAATTTCATCACAATGGACTCATCTAAGATCACTTGCAGTCCCCTTTATATATGAGAGAAGGGAAAGAAGTTGAAGAAGATGAGGGTGAGTGTAAAATAAAAATATATCGAGAGATAAAGAAGAAAGAAAAAAATTCACGAATAAACTAAAAAATAATGTGTGTAATTATCATAGAATAGTGTTCATTAGGGATGTCAAAAATAGACCCAACACGCCAACTCTACTCAAATTTGACTTGAAAAATTCAAGTTCAGATTGACTTGAATAACTTTTTGATTGGGTTTGGGTCAATATTTTTAACTCGATTAAATTTTTAGTCGGGTTCAGGTTGACCCACTAACCAGAAAATGACCCACCAACCTAAAGTTTACTAGAATTCGACCCGCTTATCCAAGATTGACTCGAAATTGACCATATTTTGACTCAATATTGACCCAAATAATAGTTGTGTTTTATATTAACTAGGTTAAACTGGTCAAGTTCATTTTACTCGTGTCTGGGTCGAGTCGAGTTAGGTTTAGATTTTCAACCCGTATAATTTTCAAGTTGGGTTCAGATGAAATATATTTTGGTCAGACTCGAGCCTGATCCGCATACTCGAAGTGTGACCACTAATTTTCAAGCCAAAAAGTTGGAAAGATAAGTCAAAGAATACAATTGAAATCAACCAAAAAGAAAACCATAGAAAATACTTTCATAACCAAAAAATAAAATGTTATTTTTAGTTTGGGTACATGAGCATACCCAAACTAATGTGTTGAATTGGTTAATAACAACTTTAGACATACTCAAGAAAACTTAAATTAAAGAAACTACGATTGCATTCAAAATCTTTTAGTCAAATTATCAAAGGAAAATATTATCATATAATTAGGGAGAACCTCATGCTTTAAAACTAAAATAGGCCAAACAATATATGTTGAATCACCATATCTCAATGGGTAGACACCTCTTAATGGTGGATGTCTACAAAATAAAATCAAATGACATACCAAAAGGAATGAATTGGCTCGAATAAGGTTTGGGGATATTTACGAAAATTTTGAAATTGGTAAATATAACTTAATAAAGTTATAGATGTTTTGCTTAGATCTTAAATCTATTTAACTATGGTGTTAGTCAACAAAACAATCAACAATCTCTCTTTAGTTATCAATGAATTGTGTTATCCAAAGAGATTTCACAAACTTAAAAGACAAAAAAGAAATTTGACTCCTTATGACTTTGTCCACTAAATGATACATAAATGGAACTTACTCCTCTTATAAATTGAAAGATTTCCTATGAAAGAAAATGAGGAGAGGATAACTTGCCCACAAGAGTTAAACTACTTGATTTATACTTACAATTCTATTTGGGTTATTTTATAATGCATGCTAGCGTAATTTTTATGCAATCCATTCAAAAAACATTTTAATGAATTTTTAGCACATGCTTCACCAATTTCATGCTCTCATTGCTCTATATGGTTTAAAGTGTACATCAAATATTATATTTGGCTAAATGATTTGAAACTACAATATAACACAGTGGGGAGCCTATGGCACCCTTCCTGGCACTATTACATAACCACTGCATTAAACAGGTTGATGTTGTGCTCTGAGCAAGATTTGTGGCATCCCGCTCCTGGTTTCCTTACACTTGATATAATTAGGGTAGCAATGTTGCTCTATTATATGATTTAACAAGTATTTGATCCCATTTCCTCACTTCATAAGGCAAAATTTGGGCATGGGAGAGAAAAAATGTCCAATAATAGCTCTCATTTTGCCCTAGACTTATTGACCAACCAATGTGATGAAAATGTGGGATTTGAAAATTAGCTTTTAAATATTTTAGTGGAAAAATATAAGATTTTATGTACATTCATTGGCTTTCCTTGGGAGCTAAATGGAGTGAAGAAAAATATTGAGGGAGCATGATGTGAATAAAAAGTTGGAGAAAATACCTCCTCCTTTCCTTACTTGTTTTTCTTTTTCTTCCTCATCTACTTATAACATAAAAGAGAGTCACCTTTTGACCTTGTAAAGAGTGTGAGAGATGACTCCTTCCTTTTTTTGTCAGTCTTTTCAAAGTTCAAGTGAATTTTTTTTGGAGCATGGAGAAAAACTGGAAGAGGAGTTACAAACCATTAAATCTCTAATTTGTGCTTGAAGGGGATAAAATAAAATAAAAAAAGAAGACTATAACCCCACAATCATGAGAGTTCCTCATCCTTATCTTCATTTGCTCCTATGATGATGTTAGAGCTCTAGTGTAGACTGATATAAGGAACGTTCTTAGGTGAGAAGCGCATTTTTTGCCATTATTTACTTTGAGTGATTCCAAGCTATAATTCTCCTTTTATCCTTATTTGGTTATGGTTTTGTTTGCATGAATTTGAATTCATGTTGTCAAATCTATTGAAACTCACTTTAAGAAATTTTTTTCTTTGTTCGTGAGAAATCTTCATGAGCTTAAAGTTATCGGATTAAGTTTATGTCGAGTTCGTAGCCATTGCATTAATGGATGCAATGGTTACTTATAATTCGTCCCTTAGAATACAAACCATGTGATTCTACATATGAACTACATGTAGAACTTTTCCATTATGTAAGTTAAGGATTCCTTTAAGTGTTGATGGTTATGTGTATAAGTTAAGCTCGCGGGCTAAGATATCTTGTTTGCATAAGCTGTTAAGGGTTTATGTTACTTCTAGATTTTCACATCCACACACATGCATGTCATTTTTTA